TGGGACGTTATGAGCTTCCCAGAATCATATTGGTATGGGAATACAAGTTTCAGTTGGACGCCTATAGTAACCCCAAGCTTGACTACTATTTCTTCTTTACGTTTAGGATACTCCTTGGCATCCTGAGTTGTAAGTCAAAGTAGGCCTTTTGGGGCTTCCCTGTTAAAAAGGGTGCTTGCACATTCACCCTCTGTTCCTTGGTAGCTTCCTATGTTCAGCAACTCTCTCAAAGATGTCGAGGTAAGCTTCAACATTGTCCTCCAGGGACAATTTTTATAAAGTGCTCTGCACCAGTTATTGAGGTGAAGAAGTTGCCTCCTGCACTACCATCTGCCTCTCCAACAGGGATTGCATCTGCTGCTGTGGAGACAGGTAAAATGTGGCCATAGGAAAGGATACTTCTTCCCAACCAGCGCCCTGCAAAGCATCTAAGCTCCAGGACCCAGAACAGAACTTATAAAAATTTTGAGACATCAAACAGTTTGTTTTATCCATCTCAATCAAAAACCTTTTCTGCCACTTGTGACATGTGTTGAGTCAGATGTTATGTGATGAACATTGGTTGTAATCCAGCCATGCTTCTACCAATATGTGACAATAGCACTCTCAGTCTCACCAGGTACATAGATTTTTCAAGCCCTGCTGGTACAGTCCCTCTTTTCTGGTCCCTAAAGAAGGTGTTGACAAGAATGACCTGACCAGTTAAGGGGTCTGAGTAATGGCCAGTGGGATGTCAAGGATGTTTATGATTGTACAGCTGCCACCTCAGCCAGATAATTTTCTAAATGTATTTATATTTTCATATACCTACTGTTACATTCAGGTAGCCAGTATATCATAGTACAGAACAAGATTTCCTTTTGTAGTAATTCAAATATGATACCCTTGGAGATGGAATGTGCATAATCTGCCTCCTACACCTCATAACATAGGCATGTTTGGTCTTAAAATGCTACTGATTAGCTGATACATGGGAATACGTTCTTATTCTTGTTTAAATGTTATTAGCTCAAGATTTATGAAACATGTTTAAATGTTGGTTTTGCAGAGAAAGGGATATTATCATCTACAAATGTTGTTTGCATTCCACTGCTTGTTAACATATTTATGATAAGTTGTATCTCTGGCTCTGCAATGAGAAATACTCTGACAAGAATGTTAATTCCCTTAATGGCCTGCTAAGCTATGTATGACAGTTTTAATAGGGTTCGTAAACCAGACCTGGATAAACATGTTGTGATGGGAAATATGATAGGCCTCTTTAGCAGATCTATAATCATCAGTGTTCTGCTAGTTAATGTTATTGCAGCATCATTATTGCAATTCCTGAGGTTGAATAGAGCCCTTTTGAAGTTTCCATTTATCTTTTATAAAATATATTCAGTTTAAAATGTGTCCATTGTAATGGAATTCTAGATGTCCATGGGTTGGGAGTGTGGGCTGGTGGGGGTGTACGGAATGTGACAATTCTCTGGTGACCCTACAGATTTAAAAGTTTATTAGAATTTGTGTCACAAAGTGGTGAATTTTAACAGAATAAAGATGCAATGGTTCTTCTGATTCAGTTTTGGGGTGTAAAGACTGCATTACTGTGGCACCCAATGTCATGTGTATGTGAAACCTATTTGAAAAACAATATACTTTAAGAGTGCATGTCCTATGGTAACAAAAAACACTTCTCAAAAAAATTAAAGGAACACTCTTTAATCAGAGTATAGCATCAAGTCAATTAAACTCCTGGGATATTGATCTGGTCAGTTAAGTAGCAGAGGGGGTTGTTAATCAGTTTCAGCTGCTTTGGTGTTAATGAAATTAACAACAAGGGCACTAGATGGGCAACAATGAGACGGGCAACAATGAGACGACCCCCAAGACAGGAATTGTTTTACAGCTGGAGGCTAATGACATTTTTTCCCTACTCATCTTTTCTGACTGTTTTTTTTTTACTAGTTTTGCATTTGGCTAGGGTCAGTGTCACTACTGGTAGCATGAGGCGATACCTGGACTCTACAGAGGCTGCACAGGCAGTCCAACTCCTCCAGGATGGCACAACAATACGTGCCATTGCCAGAAGATTTGCTGTGTCTCCCAGCGCAGTCTCAAGAGCATGGAGGAGATTCCAAGAGACAGACAGTTACTCTAGGAGAGCTGGACAGGGCTGTAGAAAGTCTGTAGCCCCTCAGAAAGCCCGGTATCTGCTCCCTTGTGCACAGGGGAACAGATTGAGCGCTGTCAGAGCCCTAAAAAATGACCTCCAGTAGACTACTGGTGTGAATGTCTCTGACCAAACAATCAGAAACAGACTGGCACCCTGTGCTTTTCACAGATGAGAGCAGGTTCACCCTGAGCACATGTGACAGACTTGAAAGGGTCTGAAGAAGCCATGGAGAACTTTATGCTGCCTGTAACATCATTTAGCATGAATGTTTTGGTGGTGAGTCACTGATGGTCTGGGAGGTATATCCATGGAGGGAGGCACAGACCTCTACATTCTAGACAATGGCACCCTGGCTGCCATTAGGTATTGGGATGAAATCCTTGGACCCATTGTCTGACCCTATGCTGGTGCAGTGGGTCCTGGGTTCCTCCTGGTGCACGACAATGCCCGGCCTCATGTGGAGAGACTATGCAGGCAGTTCCTGGAGGATGAAGGAATTGATACCTTTGAATGGCCCCCATATCAGTGTAGATATCCAGCATATTTTTCTCCATTGAGATCTGATCTATTTTCAAAGTGTTCCTAATTTTTTGAGCAGTTCATATAGTTACAAAATGAAATGAGCCTGATATGGTTGAATAAAATCTAAACAATTTTAACAAATATTGTAAAAAGCAATCAAGTTTTGGAGAGTCCTCCAAGTGAGTTTGAAAATCACACACTCAAAGGACCTTGTCAAATTGAACTATGAATGTTTTCTAAGGTAACTTACTACTGTATATCGCCCTGGCATGGTGTATTCCTTTTTTAAAGTTATGTCATTATACAAAAAAAATGCAATGGAGCAGCTTTTTGTAATGAAAGCAATAAATACTTTTCTATCCTGCTGCCCACTGCACAAATCTGCTTTGTTACAAACAGATCTTCAGCATCTGACACACTTCAAGATGTTTTCGATGCCTGGTCCGCTACTGTTCTCCGTGGTTCTTTTCATCAGTCCCTGTGTCCTATAAGGCAGGGACCACTAGAGGAAACCACAGAGTGCAATGAAGATTTGCATCCAACACTTGCAGAAGAGTTAATGCTGAACATTGAGCAGTAAAGACTTGGATCTTCAAAAAGTGGAATTCGGTGGTGAAGGCACGTGAAGCAGGGCAGGTAAATACAGTTGTGGCCAAAATTATTCAACCCCCACTGAAATTGAGTGTTTTGGCCAGTTTGACATTGCTTTTTGATCATTCGTCCTTGCTTACTGAGGCACTTGTAGGTCAGACAAATATAACATAACAGTTTATAATGAAATAACCACAAATGTCTTTTCTGTGCTCACAGCATTATCAGTTTTATTCAACCCCCAAGTGACATTCAAATCTTAGTACTTAGTACAGCATCCTTTTACAGTTATAAAAAAACGTGAAGCATAGCTTGACACAAGGTTCTTGCAGCGATCTACGGGTATTTTCTTCATGGGCAATGGCCTCCAGTTCAGTCACATTCTTAGGCTTGCGCACTGCAACTGCTTTCTTTAAGTCCCACCAATTCAATCGGATTTAAGTCTGGTCACTCCAAAATGTTCCAGCCTTTCCTCTGCAACCATGCTCTAAGTGGACTTTGGAGGTATGCTTGGGATCATTGTCCTGCCCAACGTCCCAAGCCTCAGGTGTGTGCACTGCATCACGTTTCCATCCAAATTCCTGTTACTGAAGAGAATTCATGGTACCTTGCACACGCTGAAGCTTCCCTGTACCTGCAGAAGCAAAACAGCCCCAAAGCATGATTGACCCCTCCACCATGCTTCACAGTAGGCAAGGTGTTCTTTTCATCCCTTGTTCTTCCTCCTCCAAACATGCTTTGATCAGATCATCAGTCCACAGAACACTATCCCACAACTTTTGTGGCATCTGACACACTTCCACAGCAAGTGGGTACGCCTGATTACAATGGTCCGCTTATTGTCTGGGCTGAAACTTCTCCTTTTCTCAGTGGGGACTTCTCTCCACTCTACGCTTCAGGTAGCTTTTCAGCATCTTCTTTCTGCAGTAGCCAACAGTGCCCTTTCCTTAATTTGCGGGAATGAGAGGCTCTTGGTAGTTTAACATCTTTGTGTATTATAGCCATGCTAAACTCTTCTTATAGGGCCATTGCCCTTTCCTGTGAAGAGAAATCACCTCTTCTCTTGTCTTCCTGGACCATTCTCTTGCCTTCACATGTTTGTAACCACACCAGTGTCTAGAAGAATGCCCTAGCATCCAACACTTGCAGAATACCTGATGGAAAAGCACCTTAAATGCTGAACTTCATTGTGCAGTAAAGCAATGAAGAAACCACATAAGAACCATCTTACAAAAAGTGGTCAATTTTGGTGAAGGCAGTAGGATTTGATTCTGAAGCAGGGCAGGTAGTCCCTAAACCCCTTTACAATTGGGGGTTCTTGTACTAATTGCTTTCTTTACAGGGAGATACTCATTTAATTTAAATAAATCAAGTAGCAACAAGTTGTTGTTTTAACCATCGCTTATTGTAGCTGCATGAACATGCACATTAGTAAATAATATCAAGTGAATTATCATAGACAGAGTGCAAGACTTTTTAAGACCAAGAATTAAGTAAAGGTTTCCATTAAACTTGATTTGTGGGTTACAGTTCTGCTTTAAACTAAAACATCTAGAACAACAAACTATAGACTAGCATACAGGGCTTCTGATTTGTGTAAATTAGTTGGTAGGTATTCTAAGAATTGATATATAAAGATATCCAATAACAGAGAATCAGCAGAGATACTGAAACACAAGTCAGTACTTTAAAATAATAGACATCATCTTACCAGTTGTCTTTTTTCCAGGTGCTGTATATAAAGACAAATGCCCCATCCAGCCCTACATACCTATCTTTCTGATGGTGACAGGAGCCACACACTTAGCAGCTTTTCTTATATTGCTTGTCAGATCTGTATTTGAGACCTGCAGCATGATTCTAGAAGGTCTGATAGGAACATTCAGCTTTGCTTGGTTTATAACAGGTAAGTGTTGTACATAAGGCACATTAGGCTATATAGTGTCACTAAAAAAACAAAACTCTTCTGTATATTTCAACTTGATCACTTCTCCCTCCTCTATTCACTGCTGTATAGCATCTCCCCACTGCTGTCCATTATCTTTTGTCTGTCTTTGGTCTCTCCTCTTTTATTCTTGTTTCTTACTCTGCTTTATTTAGTTTGTGTGGGTTCTTTGTTGTAGTTTATCAAAGAGGTAATATTTTCAGATGTTATTAATGCCTGGAATTATTCTTTTGTGATTTTAACTCCTTGTTTACTACATGACAATGTAAAATAGGGCACTGAGGGTACCTATAGGTGTAAAATGAATATCTCCTAGTGGAGCCATTTTGGGGTATCCCCAGAGGAGCCACATAATTGTTCTGTGATTTCTTTTCACACCTAAAGATAATACAGATAGCTCACCCCACACTTACCGACATACTTTGAGGTATTTCAAAGAATTTGCTAGGTCAAACATAGCTAAAAGAAGAGAGAATTAGCAAGTGTACTTTATACAATCAATAAAATTATAGTGTTACTTCAAAAGATACCATTAACCTCCCTGGCGGTCTAACTAATCAATATTTTTGAATGTCAAAGAGGTACATTGTTCTTCATGGAAATTTATTTTATATTGTAGGCCTGTAATTCTTAGGAATAATTCACTTAACCTCCCTGGCGGTATTCCCGAGTGTAGCTCGGGGTAAAGTTTCAGCACCACAAGCGGTAACCCCAAGCTACACTCGGGCTAACCATGCGGCGCTGCTCCACGATCCCTCAATCACTTACCTTGTCCTGCGCTCTCGCGATGTCCCTCCTGCAGTGTCCCCGGCAATGTAATCCGGCGGATGCCGGCATCTGTCATCTGGGTTCCATCCCCTGCGAGCGTCGGGACGTACGGGGGATGGAACGGTGGGAAATTTGAAAATGACAAAAAGTGACATTCACTAAAATCACATAGTATAACATTACTGTATCAAAGCATTGCACATACATTTTTTCCCGAGTGCTTTGTCCTGTTCCCTGCCTGCATTTTTACTGATCTTTCTGCCTGGAAACTGAGAAATGTCCATGGCATCCAAAAAGTGTCCCTTTAGGTCAAAAGCGGTTTTAGACCAACTAGAGAACAGCGATAGTAAATTAGAACCACTTGCAGAATTTAATGATAATGATTCGTGGGGAAATTCGTCATCAGACACTGAAAATGATTTTGCGACTTTGCTCAGTGATGTGCGAACTTGGCGCTATATTTCAAATTTCAGTGTTTTTGGTTTGATTATATTATTGAATAAAATGTATTATTATTATATTATTATTTTTTATGATTATTTATTAAATTATAATTTATGATTTCGTGTTTCAAGTTTTATCCTACCTGGGATGTTTACTAGACTCTTGTTCGGACAGATTTCAGTGAGTTATTCCTAAACATTACAGGCCTACAATAAAAAAAATATATATTTTCATGCAAAAAAATGTACCGCTTTGAGCACAGAAATATGGACATAATCAGACCGCTAGGGAGGTTAAATCTGTCCAAACAAGTCTAGTAAACATGATAAAAATTTGAAACAAAAAATCATAAATTATAATATAATAAATAATTATAAGAAATAATAATATAATAATAATAATAAACTTAATTCAATAATGTAATCAAACCAAAAACACTGAAATTTGAAATAGAGCACCAAGTTTGAACATCGCTGAGCAAAGTCACAGAATCGTTTTCAGTGTCTGATGACGAATTTCCCCACAAATAACTATCGCTGAATTTTGCAAGCGATTCTAATTAACTATCACTATTCTCTAGCTGGTCTAAAGTCGCTTTTGACCTAAAGGGAAGCTTTTTAATTGCCATGGACGTTTCTCAGTTTCCAGGCAGAAAGAACAGTAAAATTGCAGGCACTAGTGAAGGGCACTGGACAAAGCACTAGGGACAAAATTTAGGTGAAATGGTTTGATACAGTAATGTAATACTAAGAGATTACAGTGTATTGTGTGTATGGCAAATTTGTACTTTTTTGAATCTCACGCTGGTTCCACCTCCCGTTCGTCCCGATGCTCTCAGGGGACGGAACCTGGAAGACGGATGCAGGCATCGGCTGGCGGACATGGCCGGGGGACACAGCGGGAGGACCTCGCGGGATCGTGGGACAAGGTAAGGCTTGAAGGATCACTGCAGTGTAATCCCGAGTGTTGCTCGGGGTTACCGATTTTAGTACTGAAATTAACCCCGAGCTACACTCGTAATTACTGCCAGGAAGGTTAAACACCTGCAGTATTCTGGTTAACCATAATTAACAGAGCTCAACTGCATTTACCTAGCAACAATAAATAAAGAAGTCCTAACCTGCTATAACAGTCCTAGTTCTACCCTATTGGTCACTGACTATTAACAGAAATAAAGATGTAGCACTACCCCCTTAGGGGTCGTTAGGAGATCTGGGTCCCCCTATAGTCCTACACAGCCAGGCAACACACATCTTCACACAGGCTTGCATCCAGAGTCAGAAATCAGTAATGGAGCTTTGGTATTTTATTTTGGGGATTTGAACTGGGATAGGGTTAGGGGTGTACAGGATGCCCAAAGGAAACTAATGAACTGAGGAAATCTTCCTTGAACTATTCACAAGCCTTCACTGCAACACAGTCTTTGTTGGAGAGCTAGCCAGCATCTCCCAATGTACCAACCCAGACCTTTGATAAACTCCACTTCTTCACCCAGTAATCTGGAGGTATCCCTGAACAGGGGATCCAGTTCCTGTCACTTGAAATGCTGGACAGTCTCAAGTAGGTTGCGAATCTGGTTTCCCACTAGTGCACCTACCCCTATCTGCTCAGGGAGTGCAGGGGTACTCATTCAGATCCTCTCCTGTACCGCTGGTGGGTTGGTGGCTGCTACCAGACCTGTCAGCTGGGCTGTTCCTTCCCTGCCATGCAGGTGGTACTCGCTCTGGGGGCCAGTGAGCTCTGAGCTTTCTTCCTTTCCAACTCCAGGCCTGTAGGTAGGTCCAATCCCACCGGGCCTCCTCGCAGCTCCTGCCGTCAACCTCACATCTTCCTCACAGTCTTCCACCCGAACTCTCCTGCAACTGAGCAGGCTCAAACACTTTTAAGGGTGTTGTAGCGCCTTGCCAAGCCTTCTGTTGGGTATTGGCTAGAATCCTTCAAGAGTGCAAGCCAGCCACTCCTCAGACCCACCCACTGCCTCTAGGCTTTCTTCCAAAGCTATAGAGAAGGGGGAAATTCCAGCAGGGCAGGCCTGCAGAGCCTCTCAGCTCCTGACCACAACTTGACACTCTGACTATCACACCCAGGCTGCTACTCAGCCCTCCTCTCCAACAATTAAAATCTAGCTCCCCCTAGCTTACTGGGAGGGTGCTACAAAAAAAAACAGTTAGCTGGCAAAGTTGGGGCTCTTGAAGAAAGCTCATCAGTTCCCAGCAGACAACAGACTCTGGTGCTCTCCTATGGGTCTCCATATATGTACTCCATTTTAGTTCAAATCTTTAGACAGGGATAGGAATTGCTGTGATGTCTTGCTTTCATTTCTGCTGAGACAGTGCCTCTTTTACCTCTTCACAAGTAGTGGAAGTGTTCTCCAGTACAGTCTGATCTCACTAGGCATGCAAATCATACCTCACACTCTTCCAGGGAGAAGGTTCTCGGTCTCTTTGCTTCACCCCCTTGTGGTCAGCTATGTCAGGGATATGTTTAGCCTGGAGCAGCTTTCACACATCTGCTTTGTTCAAGACAGTCCTCTCCCATTTCCACCCCAACCTACAAAGCACACTTCTCCTTGCTCTGTTGCATCAGCCTATCACCTCCAGGAATCAGACCCAGCCAAAATGACTGCCCCCTGCACTGGAGACACTCCATAGATGAGCATTAAAATACATATAATGCAGCGCTAATCATATAAAATATAAGACATAGTAATATATCATAATATAAAGTGAAAATTATACAATAGTCCTCAAAAATTGTCCTATAGATACATCTGGAACTCCCCCAACCAGTGCCTCTGAAGGAATAGTGAGGACAATAATAGAAAAGATCCTCCAACAACAAACTGCACACACAGCCTCTTATTGCAATTTGTTGACTACTATACTAGCAGTCAAACAGTGCATAGATCAAATAGTCATGGCAAGAGATCTCCATCTCCAGTGTTTCCAAATGAGACTTTACCCACACTATCAGCAGTCCGGCCACACAGATGTTAGATTGTCTCAAACTCATGGGCAAGAAAGAGAACAGAACTGCCTCATAGTGTACTAAACTTCAAAAATTCAGAGTTATTAAAGCTTGAGTTTGAGACAATCCAACATCTGTGTGGCCGGACTGCTGGTAGTATGGATAAGGTCCCATTTGGAAACACTGTCGATCTCCTGCCATGACTATTTGATCTATACACTGCTTGACTGCTAGTATAGTAGTCAACAAATTGCAGTAAAAGGCTGTATGTGCACTTTGTTGGTGGAGGATCTTTTCTCTTACTGGCTGTAGTCCGCCAAGTGTCCAAATCTAAAGAACTAATACTACTCTTATAGAATCCAATTATAAAACGCTTCTTCGCTGGTACCTAGTTCCTACACGTCTTGCTAAAACGTTCCCATCTGTGTCTTCTAATTGCTTTCGACATTGCGGACAAGAGGGCAGTATTCTCCATATATGGTGGAAGTGTCTGGTAGTTTATATATTTTGGATCCGGATATTTAACTTCATTTATACGGTAACGGGAATTAATATTCGTAAATCACCGGAAGTAGCCTTATTTAATTTGTTGCCCACTGATATTCCCAAGAAATCAGTTAAATTAATCCTTTATCCTCTGTTGGCAGCACAAATTACTATAGCTAGATGTTGGAGACAGTCATCCATTACGCTAGACTTGGTCTGCCACAAGTTAGCCTGCAGTTTCTTGTTTGTGTTCTTACGTTCTTGCTGCAGTCCTGTTCCTGATCCCTTCTCATGTG